CGAGGATCAGCAGTCTCGTTGGAGGGATACACTCAAGTGGTTGGTGGTCAAGCAGGCTGGCAACGGGCAGCGACAACATCTGTGGCAGAACTCTCGTCCCAAACGAAGTTACCCCTCGAAATTGCCCATGTTGATGGACGAGGGCATTCAACGCTTTCGGGAGCGCTCACTGAAGCGGTACAAAAACATGCTTGTGTACTTGGAGAGCTCGCCCGACTATTGTAATGCTGATCCCGGCATCGGTAAGCATTTGCCGCTTTAAATATGCTCGGAATTCATATATGCAGAAAAAAGGATCTCAATCTAGTTGTAGTTATTGCTACAGAATGCAACTGTTTTGTACCGGTGTATCCGTAAAAATGCAGTTGACCAAAGTACAGCCTTGTCGTGTCTATTTTTAATGACCGGAGTATAGATGGATCACCACAGTCTAAAAGGCGCGAAATTTTCATTGGGTAATGAACTCAACATGCCCCGTAGAAAATTCGGACTATCATGGAGCCATTGCTAGACAGAACTCCTAGCATAACTATGTGCATTGAGGGTGGACAAACAACTCTGCTTCTTCTCTCATGAGAGGAGAGTTCTGGTCCATGGACTCGCGTCTAGATATCTCCGGAAACGGCTAGACAAAGTTCCTGTTATAAAAAGTTGTTTCTTTATGAAAATCTCTAGCGAAAGTAAACTATGCCTAATGGAAAGACTTGATCAATGTTAGAAAAAGTAAACTGTTTCTAAATAGGGGATAATGATGGGCTAGGAAAGTAAGCTTAAATTGACACTGATTTGTTGATAAATGCTTTTTAACAACCTAAATTTAAATAAAGGCTTTAACTGCAGGCAGACGCTTATTATCAATGAAATTTCTCCCTCAGTACTTAGCGGCTACAGTTTTGAGTCAATGATCCAGATACTCCGCAATAAATACCAATTCCCGTAACGATATGTCCACGAGAAGTGCACTATTATATTCAAGTCGAAGGAAACACTATTACTATTCTCGACCAGCGCTGATGAGGAGTAGATTTCCCAAGGATTATTCAACTAAGAAGTAGGCTTCCTGGTCACTGTTTGAGTCCTAACATTTTATAGGCTTTATTTAACCGGGTAGATAGGAATAATTTATAACATTTGAACTTGAAGACGACCCAATTTTCAGCTCCTAAGTAGCTGCCGACTTTCTACGAGAAAATTCATTTTTCCCCAGCAGTTATTAGGAATGTTGTATTGCTTCTTAAATGGTAACATCCTGTACAATAGTAACAGGAGAAAATTGTCGTAATTACGAATTGAAGAGGCAAGAGTAATTTTGACAGCTCCAGTAGGTGTCTACGCCGACAAACAGTTTGAACGAGTGTTCCTTATCGAATTTGAATGGTTGTGGCTTCAGATTTTCTCCACCAGTTTAGGAGCGAAAGAGGCGATCGACTATGGTTTCACCTCTGTTTAGACTGATTCATGACGTTTCTCTGAAGGGATGCGAGCTCAGTGGCGCAATCGTATTTGCGTCAAAATTTTCTTCTAGTGGATTAAGCGCACTGTGGTGGAAACAGCCAAGGAAAAAAGTGGAATAATTGTACTTCCTAATGAAGGCAATGGTTCTTCATCCGAAGAAGTCTAATAGTGCAAATCGCAATACTGTCTCGCGATTTTCGATGTCAAGAGATATGGAGATTCAACGAACCGCTACCGGCAACGAAACAGTGATTTGCATCATGCCACATCAAACTAAAATGCAAGGTATTATGAAAAGAAAGATCTTCGGAAAATCGAGTTGTGCTCGTGAATTTTCGAACAGGTATCACT